CCATCCTGCCTTGTATCAACGCTTCAGGCTGCTGCTGGTGGTGTAATGGTGTGGGGGAGATTTTCTTAGTACCAACTGAGCATGGTTTAAACACCACAGCCTACCTGAGTATTGCTGCTGACCGTGTCCATCCCTTTATGACCACAGTGTACCCATCTTCTGATGGCTACTTCCAGCAGGATAACGCACCATGTCACAAAGCTCACATCATCTCAAACATGACAGTGAGTTCACTGTACTCCAATGGCCTCCAGTAGACAAATCTGCAGCAACTGCGTGATGTCATCATGTCAATGTGGACCAAAATCTCTGAGGAATGTTTCCAGCGCCTTGTTGAATCTATGACAAGAAAAAGGGTGTCCAACCCAGTAGCAGCAAGGTGTACCTAATAAAGTGGCTGGTGAGTGTAGTTTTGCCATTGACATAGATCCCATATGACTTCAATTTATCAAGATTTTTTTCAGTTTTTGGATTCTTCTTTTACCGTGGAGGCATGCAAGAAAAAAAAATCTCCATAATGTAACACGGGTTAAGGAGTTGATATACAAATAATCATTTGGAGGGTGAAGTATTACTTTAGAGAAAAAGTGCATAAAACGGCATGGCTAATTCTCTGCCTAAATCTCACACGATAATCAGGTGTTGCACCTGAGTCCACGAGAGTTGGGGGAAAGACGCAGAGAAGACACAGAGAAGCACATGGGACGGACAGCAGCTCTTACCTGGGTACGCCTCCTCAGCACTGGGGCTTCCATCTGGAAGAGGGGATGGAGGTGCAACATGCATGATTAGCGGGTGCTGTAAGCCACACAGGGCAGCAGAGACACACATAGAAAACACTACAGTACAAACCAGGGTCACAGATCTATCCAAAATTAATTCAGCTTTAATTACAGAGCTTCGTTTTTCCATCTCTTTCCTCACCTCTGCCAACTTTCTGAACTGTCAGCTGTATGCACCACTTTAAAGCTTGGATAGACATGTGATCCTGGTCCAGTACAACATGTAGAGTAAGCACAAAATCTCCGATACAACTGCTGGCTGCATTCAGCCATGAAGCAGCACTTTACACTGGCAAAGCTGGAGAGTAAAGACAAAAAGCGGTTTCTAATTTGTTGCTACAGAGCCAGGACCAGGAAGACGGCAACAAAGACTGCACACAAAACAAAAAGCTTCACATTAGACTGTTTCCTCTCATGATATGTACTGTACGGCTGAGAAACAATAAAAAACACCTGCTTTCCTTTAGGTAAAGAAAATTGTCAGAAGCATTAATTAAGCTAAGAAACGAAATGAACCTACAGGATTCTTGTGCAGAGGAGAGGGCGGGCATGGAGGAAGAGGATGGTGGTGGTGAGGATGATCGTGGAGGTGATGAAGAGGATGGTAATGATGGTGATTCCTGTGATGAACTCCCTGGGTTGATCCAGAAAGCTCTTTTTCCTTCATCTTGTCACAGCCACACACAACAGTGTTAATTTACACCTCCAGATGTGTTCAGTGTCAGCTAATGTGAATTATTTATTTCAATGTTTTTATTAGTTACATGCCCGTAAAAACTGATTTTAGTTCATTTGTTCCCATTTAAAGTCACTAACTTTATTTACTTTTTTAATGTTTAAGATATACTGTGCAGGATTTTCCTAAAAACTGACAATCCTGCATAGGATACCTTTATCAAACGAACAAAAATAATTAAAGGTCCAGTGTGTAGGAGTTAGGGGGATATATTGGCAGAAATGGAATCTAACATAATGAGTATGTTTTCTTGAGTGTATAATCTGTAAAGGTCTCTTCCTCTCCAGGCGGCAGGTTCAAGTCCCCTGACAAACTATGGAGTGTGGTCTGGTAGCTGGAGAGGTGCCAGTTTGCCTCCTGCCTAATGGTAATGGTGCCTGTTCATGGGCATTTAATGCATGTATAGGTCCTGTCTATGCATATGTGTGTGTGTGTATGACAAGACAAATGAATTTCCCCTCAGGGATTAATAAAGTACATCTTCTTCTTCTAATAACCTGAAAATACGAATTGTTTTTGTTACCTTAGAATGAGCTGTTTATATCTACATAGAAAGCGGGTCCTCGTCTACAGAGAACACCATGTTGCACCGCCATGTTTCTACAGTAGCCCCCAATAGACAAACCAAAAGTGGGCCCAATATAGGGCCATTTACGTTTTAGCCTTGGCCACTGTAGTTAGCAGCCCCTCCACGATGAGCCAGGCACGGCGCCAGGATTTCAGTTTTGATGGGCCAGACCAATTGTAGGTGGGCCTTAAATTACAAACGTTAGGAGATCACTGTTTGACTTAATAATAATGACTGACAAATATACTGCTTTATTACCTTGCTTTATACAGATTTTAATTGCTTGATGCTCCTTAAATATTTGATTGCATTTTGAAATGTTTCAGTGCATAGGATGGACCGACCCGTGATCACTCTCCTTGGTTCTGACCAAAGAAGAGCACTAGGCGGCGCTGGGGGTGAGCTCGGAGGTGCACCCCCAAGAAATGCTCAAACAAAATTTCTTCACTGTCACTGAATAAAATTGTTTTTGTTCATTTGTGTGACATTATCTGGTGGTCATATTATTAATAGGCTATCTATGAATAGGCTTTTTTCCTGCCCGAGTGCAGCACCTCTTGCCTCCGACATTTGAAGACATACCTGAGGAACAGCAGCGGCGATATGCGCAACAGTAACTTGGCATTCTTGACCATAAACACCAGGACGACCAAAGATCTGGACGCAGATAAAATCATCGATGCCTTTGCTAGCAATCACAATAACAGACGCACGTTCTTCTGTAAAGAAGTCTAGTGGTGAGTAACAATATATTAGTCTGCCATAGGCGCAGTACAGGGATTATTTTTTATTATACTCTGGCATAGTCGATAGTGTTGTTGTGTTTTGTGACAGCTTACGGCTGTCTATTAAGGACTTGGAGTTCTGGACACCAGCTCTCGTTCATCTCCTGGTTGCAGCTATGACTCCGAGACCATTTGTGCATGTTTAAGGTACCTAAACAAAGACTGTTGCAACATAGCCTTCTACTGGAAATGAATTTAGACGTACAGCAGTTGATTCACACTTCCAGATCGTTTGGAGCTAGCCTAGCCTACCAGTAAGCAACATTCGATCCTGAACCCCACGTGTCTGCTGAACTTGCCCAGAAGCATCAAAACAGACATTTTAAAATCGTTTTTAAAACTAAACTTTTAGACTATTTCAGCACAAATTATGTTATTATTATTCTGAATCATTCATAAGAAAATTAAAATATTCTAACAAGTTTTTATTTTTAGGACCGTCAGGCCCACCCATAACGCTGTGCCTGCAAAGAATGCTGTCAGAAAAACACAGTTTTTTAATGTGAAACTGTTTTATTCAGTGTTTTTAATTGCTTAAATCACCAGGTCTGTTTGAATGTCTGGATCCTAAGTTATCAGAGAAAAAAGATAAGCTCACATAACCACGTGCTGGGCTAGCAGCCTGTCTGCAACAGCGTCTGAGAAACACTGATTTGTAATGTTAACCTGCTTAATCCAGTGTTCCTACTGGTTTAAACATTCTGGTTTATTTGTTTTGGAGAGGAAACCTCTGCGATAATTCCGCCCCTGGTGACAACCTCCTGAACAGTGAACACTGAGGGAATTGGTAGTTTCAGCTGGTTGGATTTTGCAGTCCATACCACCAGATGTCACTAAATCCCACACACTGCTCCTTCAAAATAAATTAAAAGTGCTATGGAGCAAAATAAATGAAAAACTGAAAACAATGCCTAGTTGAGCAAATTCAGAGAAAATAGTAATTTGTTGAATTTGTGACAGGTAAAGACAACCCCAAAAAAGAGAGGGTTTACTTCTGAGCAAAAGGTCGTCACATTAAAACCATGCATTAATGTTATTTGTCACATCTCTACCCGAAAAAGTGTGTGTTACCTTTCTTACTGGCACCGCCCAGGAGGTCAGTCAGGGTCCCGTCCTGACTGCTGAGGCTGGGCCTCCTCTCCTTCTGAAGCAGCTTGTCGACACGCTGTATGATGCACTCCAGAGATTTATCCACATTCACCCAAACCTTCTCCTGAGAGGACACAGACACAAAGCAGTGTCATAAAAAATTTAAGAGCTACGTAAGAAAAGCCAAAAGGGCTAATAGAGAAATTACAGCAGGGAAAGGAACAGAGCCAGAGGGGAGAGACGATGCATTAGAGATGAGATGAATCACATCAGTATGCAAATCAGGGAGCACACCACAATTTTGCTTAACAAAGATTTTATGTAACACAAGCAAATGTAGAGCTCTGACTTCATTACATAACTACGAACTCTCTTCTCAGGCTGTCTGGGGAAACAGAGGCAAAACATTAACAGTCTGGATTCATTCTGTCTTACTTACAGCCACGTCAAGAACCAGAAAACAACAGGAACAAGAATTAAATCTGAATATTTATTAAACATTTTAGGAAAACAAAACTGTTTGTTTCCGTGATTCCTAACTGCCTCATTAACTCACCCACTCCTCTTCATGCCAGTCTACGTGCAGCGATGATCGGCTGTTGCAACCGCTCCACTTGGCGAGCAACGTGTCCTGGTCATTCCGTAGGACTACTTGTTCTGACTCGGCGGAGGGAGACGCTTTGGAGGCGATGTACTCAGGCCGTGCTGCGTTCAGGGCCTGGATGGCTGAAGCCAGCAGCTTACAGTCGCATACCGTCACCAACTGACGAGTCTGAGAGGGCGAGAAGATAGTTGTTCATTTCCATCTCGCAAACTTAAGTCCTTATGAAAGATTTACAGCTTTAAATTAAAATACCTTATCAGCCAGGATAGCGAGCGTCCTCTCCAGTCCGCTAGCAGATCGGTCCTTGGCGGCTCGGGAAAGCCTCTCAGCGTAGTAGCTGACCTGAGTCTTCAGCGTGTTGATGTGGGCGATGATCTCTTTGGCTCGGACGATGTCCTGGGGTATGTAGACGATGGACTGCGAGCTGGAGAGGGCGCTGCTGCAGAAAGACATATGGTTTTAGCAGCACGTCTTTGTCCGACTCAACGCTGATGACACTGTATCCTCACAATGTAAAAGGCTGACTGAATCTTGGAGCCTCCATGTACGGGAGAATTGTTACCTGCCCTTTTTAATGTCTTAGAAATAGTATTTTGTTAATAACATTTGCATTCACATGCCTGTTCTTAAAGTAAGTTTGGTATTTTTCAACCTGCACCCTACTTTCCGATGTTTTTGTGTGTGACAAATGCAATTTTTGAAATTAGTCCAGAGCGCCGCAGTCAGCAGCTGCGATATAGGCTGCGATGTAACCACTCAGGGCATGTGCGTCAACTTAAAGTGCTTGTTTTTGCCACTGACAGGCTCAGATTGTTATTCTAATATCTCTTTTCGACAGTCATGGGCTTGGCTTGGCTTGGCTTGGCATGGCTTGCAGCGCGATCTGCATTTCTGTTACAACAGGGTTACCCACTTCAAGGTGCGTCTTTAACTGATAAAGAGTGATAAACACATTTCATTTCCTATAGATTCTTCACAATAAAAGTCCCCCATTATTTTGTTAAGTAAAGACTTTTATTGTGAAGCAGCAAAATAAGGAAATGTTGAGTTTTCGAACAGCAACTTCGCACAACTTCTAATACGGCGGATAGTGAACATGACACAGTAAAATAAAGCAGATATTTAAAGTAAAAACAGGACGCAGGAGAGAAACTAAACTCCAAACCACAGAGTTACTGAAACTGAACACACAGAGACTTTTAAAAACGCCTTTCTCTCTGGTCTCCTGCAGACAGAGGTGAGCAGAGTCTCACAACAAACACAGCTTGTTTGAGGGGGAGAAGCGCTGTTGTTGGGGGTTGACTGTGGTCGGCGAGACGTCACCGCTACCTGCTTGAGTGCAGGCAGCCTCCTACTCTGGAGAAGGTCCATCTCTGGTGCAGCTTGGCACAGCGCGTCTAAACTGACAATGGAAATCGGTGTGGAGGAAAATGGCCAGTGTCTGACAACATTATGGAAAGGATCCCTACAGAGATACACATTTTTATGAAACAGTATGATCCAGAAACAGCCACAAAATCGCCATCTCCACACCCACCAGACTCTATTTAATTAAACAGTACTTTTATCATCATAAATCACGCTTCTTTCAAAGTCGACAGAAACAAAATAAAAGTCACAAAAGCCGACCTGGTTTGTCTTTCCACTGTTCCAACAATCAGCAACGCTGGTTTGGTTGAAATAAACCCTTAATTTACCCAGTTAGATGTGAAAATATTTTGGTTCTATACATGCTAAAATGACTGTATATTCAAACGGAGTCTGGTGGGTTTGGCAAAGCCGATTTTGGGGCTGTTTCTGGATAAACAAAAAAGTCTATCTCTGTTGGGATCCTTTCCATAATATTATCAGACACTTAGAATAACTATCGGAGCCTGTCAGTGGCAAAAACAAACACTTTTAGTGGACGAACATTGACAGTGCCAAATGCCCCGAATAGTTCTCACTCAACGTGGGACCATTTTAAAAAACTGTTGTCTCCATTCGTCACTTAGACACAAAAACATGGGAAAATACCAAACTTACCCTTTAACATGAGTCCTAATCAGTGGCTTAGGAATGCTACATATAAACACAAGACAACATGAAACCGACTTCAGTAAACAGGACTGGGAGTGATACCGTTCATTTTAGAAATTCGGATAGATCTTACTCTGAATTTAAGATGTTCTTATCTGTGCTTTAATGTCAGGTTTACCTGTCTTCCATGTGTTTTTACGAGAAAACAGATTTGACTGAATTTACAAAAATGAGCGGTACTTCAACAAACTTGTGTACCATGTTATAAAATATCTGTTTCACACACAAGTGAGCCTGTTTTGGTTACTTTCAAACACAACACTGTTAAAACCAAATCCATCATGTGTCATTATTTGTTGCTGTTAACATGAGCAATGTGACGACTGGCAATGTTTTCAAATCAACCCGACTCAAAGAAACATTGAAAGTTTTTTTTTTTTTAGGTGGTACCAGGCAGTGAGAGGCAAACGGTGTACGAACAAATGAAAACAAGCAAAGCAGTGCAACAACTCACCATTCCTCCTCATATACGCTGATCAATAAAAAGTAACAAAAACAAAATTAAGAGGAAGCCATAGAACTGAATTAATGCAGTAGTTGAAGAAACAATGCATTTTTTTTTGTAATGTAGAAATGATTTCAGGACAGCCAAATCAAAATAGATACTTCCTTCACACAAAATAATCACCTGTTTCAATTAAAATCAGTGAAATGATGATTAAAGCAACAAATATGAAAAGAATTCAAGAGCAGAAATTGCTGAAATTGAGGGGAACATGCAAATGCATTTTTGAAATTTCGATTTTTCTATTCAGTGGTTGATTTCTGAACTTACTGTTTCTTCGCCTCCTCAAACTTCTGGATCAGTTTCCGCAAACCGCTGTTTTTAAAGCCCTGGCAGTGAGCCGCCGGAGCTCCGATTGTTATCACATCGTAGGTGTGTTCTGGAGGAGGAAGCAGAGATGTGTTTAATGAGGCAAGAAGAAAAGAGAGTTTTAAGGTATGTTTATATCTGGAGTCCAGTCCGATGTACAAGCTTACAACCGGTTTGATGCTGAGGGTGTTGAGGTGCTAAATCCAACTTGTATTGCATTAGTAACAACAAGCTGAGGCCGGCAACATGAAAGAAGATCAAATTTCAGTGCACATTGTGTTTGTTTACCAGAAAGTCTTTTTGGGGTGACGAGACGAAATACAAAAAGAGGTCAGATGAAAAATAAAAACATGATGCGTCAGTTGTCCTGCTGGTTGTGTTGCTGCTTCACTGAGTTTTAGGTCACTAAAACGTATTTTTTAAAACGCTTTTTAAGGTGCAGATTTTTCAATACTCTGCCTTCTTTGTATTCCTGTAGACATGCTGGTCTGGTTGGTGGCTTAGTGGATAGAGCAGGCACGCCATATACAAAGGCTCAGTCCCTGCTGCAGTGGCCACGGGCCCGCCTCCAGCCTGCGGCCCCTCGCTGCACGCCATCCCCCCTGTCCATCCCCCATTCACGCCAAGTCTGTCCTATCATTAAAGGCCTGAAAAGCCCAAAAATCTTAAAAATCTTAAAAAAATAAATAAATAAAATGGAGCATTTGGGAAACAACGACATCATCTCCTTGATTCGTGCATACCTATTGTTGCTTTGTGTAATGAGCATGCTCAAGAAACAATAACAACAACTGGTTTTGTCTAATGACTACTTTGCACTGAAACTCAGTATTGCTGCAACATTTCCAAACGAACGGAGGCGTCTGCTGCATCCATTGTTTTTGCTCCACCTTAGCATCTGCGGTTTAGAGTCAGACAGAAATGACGGTTTTGGGTCAGGACCAGTCAAACCAGCAGAAGGTGGGACAGTTATGAGTGGGAATGTTATTAATAAGGAGTTGAGGAAAACTTTAGCATCAGAACATCACTTGCGATATTTTGTTTCAATCAACATCTGTTCGGCAGGGCAGGGAGAGCAGGCTGTGCTCGAACACAAATTAGTCTGCACCATGTTTGAAAGAGAGACTGAATAAGTAATAGATATAAAAAACAAGTAACCACAGTAACATTTTTACTGGCCTCCATGTTGCTTTCTACTGTTACTAACCCTGTTTTGTAATGTCAAATGTGACACACGAGTAAAAAAACAAAACAAAAATGCGTATTCATCAACTGGGACTTCTGGCAATGGAAAAGAAGACTATCACATTTTATTAGTATGTTTTCCCAGGTTTGAAAAATATGCATATACTTGTTAATTTGGTGTAAAGCTTATAAGAGAGCCCATGCAAGAGTGTAGTGACTCCAGTCCACTGGTGGCGATAATACACCTCTAAGCTGGTTGATTCTCTTTTGACATAAGGACGGAGGAGCTCACTCACAGATACAGCACTATTTCATGATACTTATATAATATTCAGTTTCCACCAAAAAAACAAACAAACATTATATTTAACATTATATTAAGAGGTCGGTGAAGATTCTCAGTCATCCAGGTCATGGTAATCATAACTGAGATATCATAGGCAACTGGACTAGCTTGCGTTCTTCCCACTTTAACCTGAATAACAAACCGGAGCTAGCTGGGAGCGGCTAGCGGAGTGTTAGCTGCAGCATGAGCGAAGGGAAGCACAGCCAGTTAGCCTCCACTAGTCTTCTGAGCTAGACCCAGCTCTCCGTTTGGATCCAAACAGAGAGCCAGGGCTAGCTGGAAGCGGCTAGCGGAGTGTTAGCTGCAGCATGACTGGAAGGAAGCACAGCCAGTTAGCCTCCACTAGTCTCTGAGCTAGACCCGGCTCTCCGTTTGGATCCAACCGGAGCACCGAGCCCTGGTTTGTTATTCAGGTTAAAGTGGGAAGAAGCAGCAGGTTTATCGGGCAGATGAGTGAATTGGAGCCTGCGGAGGAAACACCGGGACCGTCTGGATGTAATAGTCCGTGGAGGTGCTGCGGTGCTCGGCTGCACAGATAGGAAACCCCTCGGCTGACAGGATGTACCACTCTGTCACTCCGCTCTCTCTCACGCAGGCGCAGAACATACGTGCTACTTGGCCGTCAGATGTAGTCCGTGTAGTGTGTTCAAATGCAACTGACACAGGGCGACGTGAGGTGACGTAGACGACACAACAGTTGGCTTTCATCGCCGCTAGTTCTTTGATGTCGGTTTGGTGTGTCAGCACCTTTAAACTAATCTGTTGGTGATCATTTCTTTGCACAAAGATTTAAAAAGCTACATACTAGGGTATGCAGCTAGGTTGCTAGCTAGCTATTTATGAGTAGTAGCCTACTTTATCAATTTATATTACATACTGTATTGTGCTAGACCCAGTGCCCTTTTCTGCCTTTGAGCCCCTGCCCCTTTATTAGCCTATGCACGGCCCTGCCCGTGACAACTGAAGAGTTATTTTGCACCAGGACTGAATGTCGATTCTAACCTTTCCCGTTAAATACTTGCCAGATGTTACTGGGATTTTTGTCCAATAAGAACGAGGCTTGTTCCACTTGGGAGCGGCTGCTGAGTCAACTGCAACACTTGGTAGTAAAATTCAGTTTACTGGTCCGATCTGGTGTTTGCGTTCATGTCAAACTGGTTTAAAAAATGTTTACATCAGCCCAGCACTATTGCTGTCTGTTTGTCCTTGTTCTTATGTCTCACCAAAGCCCAGCTCATCCTGCACCCTCATCCTCTGAACGTGTAGGTTGGTTGGCATGAACTCAAGCTTCCTCTCTGCCTTCAGGTTGCTGGCTTTGAACGATGGACCTGACGTGGAGCGAGCAGAGACGGAGAGGAGAGGGGGGAAATAAATGTGTGAAACAGACCAGGAAACGTGTATATGATGCTGTTTTATCAGACAACAAGAGGCCACCGAGGAACCTTCTAACCTCTGTAGTCGTTGAGGTCGGACAGTGTTTCCTGGTATGTGAGTATTATGGTCTGGTACTGAGAGACAATCTGTCGCCGCAGATTCTCCCAGCAGGGCGATAACTCTCCCAGCTCCTCCAGCTCACACACCCTGAAGAGGTGTTAATGAAGAAGGAGAAGTCGGCATTACAGAGGAGAATTAAGCCTAAAGCTCTCATGCAACATGACCACACGTGTGCTTGTACCTGGCCGCGTCCTCCTCCAGCAGCAGCTTGACAAACTGTCTGGGGATGTTTAATGAGAGGACGCTCTCAGCCATTTGCTCCAGCACTCGGAGGTGGTTCCCGTCAGTCGTGGGGAAGCGGTACATCCTGGACATCGTGCCTCCAAACACTGAAGACACAGGAAATTCAATCAGCCTGGATTAGACCGTGATAGGTTGGATTAGACTGTTTTATTTGACCACACTTTGCGAAGCATATGGTACAATTATTACACAAAAAGAACGACTAAAGAAAGAAACATTCACAAAAAACATAACAGTTAAAAGTTTAAGTCAAAGAAGGTTGTTGTACCCTCTCAGACATTTTACATCTGTGTTATTTCTGGCTCGGGTAAACAGATCCCTCCCACTCACTGGTGACAATCAATATATTTCTGCTTGACAATAAGATTTACGGTCTGATGCATCGGTAAACACGGAACCATGAAAGTGGAGGAGGGTGGAGGGAAAAGAAAAACAGGCCTTGTGTTGTCCACTATTTCATTATTTTGTATTTTTTTTTAATCATACCTTGGCACACCTGTATAGTCATATCTATTTTTAGTTCCTCATTTTCAGGACAGAGTAAGGTAATAACCTGGATCATAAATATTTATACCTTCATTAAATGATCATGATTTTTGGTCATCATCTACTTTATGTTGTCTTTGAGTAATTCTTTGAATTTTAAATGATTTTGGGACAATATATGTATATAAATGAAACCCCTTACCATTAATTGATTATTTTTTATTTATTTTTTTTAATTGTTTTTAATCATTAATGTAGTTTTTCTTTTTACTTTCTTGAAGAATATTATTCTTAAAATTTATTCATTTCTCCTCCACCTCCTCCTCACATACCTGTACATCCCTCTGGTCACAATTCTTCATTATTTAACACACATAAACAACTAAAATCTGTACCATATTTAAATAATAACATCTCTTTATATGAGTTAAGTTAAAGTTGCGGCTCAGATTTTTTGAAGTGGGGTTCTCTGAGGTACTTATCTATAGTCAGTGTGTTACCCACAGTACATGTCAGTCGGCGAGCCCCCAGTTTGGAGAAGCAGGTTGCCGTGGGAGCTACACAACGTACTGCTGTGGACGGGGACAGCTGCAATACATATTTTCGCCACTATAGCAATATCTGTCTAAGTGGAGCCTCTATGGAGAATATTTTTACTTTACCTTGCCATCAAACAGCCCTTTCCTTTTGCACTACATTTTCTCAACCATAAACTTCTATATTCTTAAGCAAAAGCCAAACTGTGGCGTGGCTTTCAGTGGCTTATAAGAGAGGCAACAAATACAATTAAATTAAAGAACCTAGTGATTATGACAGCGACAACTTGGATACAACCCAACTGCAGGATCTTTCTGAATCAGAAGATGCCAGCGCTTCACAATTCACTGGTTGTTTGGTGAATCAGTTCATTTATTCGTACGCAGGTATGTAGCACATATTTACCTGATGGACGGGTGCAGCAGTGCTCTTCAACACGTGGATTTACATAACCCTCTTGAAAGAAAAGTTCACTGCAAATGCCAAGTTGTCTTGGTCTTGCAGGTGGAGGGCTGGTGTCTAAATTCAACGCAGTTTCATTTCAGGCCGATCACACAACAGCACTTTCAGAGAGCTGACTGTGGCCTAATACAGTGTGTGGCACAGGTGCACTTATGAGCAGGAATACAGAGTTATACAGTTGAGGAAATGTAGTGACAAAGGAGAGGGCTATCTGACATCAAGGTAAAGTAAACATGTTCTCAATACAGCCATCCACTCAGACTGGTTTTTTTAAGGGGCTAAAATATGTTTTCCTGCTTGCCCCCATCCGCATACATTTCAACAAGATTACTTTTGAACTCATGGTGAGAACGTTATAATTTACCTTCTCCCATTCCTCATTTTTACTGAGCAGAGCTTGAACGCATCATAATGTAACTAAATGCAGCCTCAGTTAGCAGTTAGATTCAGCCATCAGCTGCCTACAGCTAACTTGGACTTGCTCTCCTCCTGCCGACGTCAACGCAGATTCGTTGTCCACAATGTAGCATCATCCGAGAGAGTCACATTAATTAAGAGCTATATCTAAAGCCTAGTTCACATTACACGATTTTCACTGCGATTTTGACGTCGCAGAGGATCTTGAGAGACACCTTGGGTCGGAGGCGAGTCTGCAGATAGTCTGCCACGACGAGTCCTTATGTGTGAACAAGCCTACGAGCAAGTCGCCCCCTCGTCTGCGATCGGGACTGGATATCTGGCATGCTAGAAAACTGGAGAAGTCTGACACGACTGACGAAGAGCATCAGCCAATGAGAGGCGGGATACGTCCCACGTCAGCACACAGTAGGATGGAGGAAATGTGAAGAGGACAAGCCGTAGGGTTGCCAGGTCCGCTTATTAGCCACGACTTTGGGCTTGTTTCTAAAGTGGAGTTGCTTATTTGGGCTTGCTCTCTAAACGTCACCTTCCTCTATATATATATATATCCGTCGTCCTTTTTGGTAGCTTGTTTCCATAGCCCTGGTTGCTTGTTTCTCTCCCAAGATCTGGCAACACTGACAAGCCGGCAAGCAACAACAACAACGGCGGTGTCCACAGGATCACGGGGAGTGCATTGTGTTTGGACCCAGGATAATAAAGAATATCCATGCCTTTACGATGTGCCGTCTCCAAGTTTGGTGACGTCACTGCATTATCTGGGGCTCTGTCGGTGAGGGCTTGGTGGAGAAATTTTGCACACACAGGTCGTAACGCAGTTGGCGAGACTCCCGCTGACAGAAACACATGTCGCCGGGTATGAACGCTCAAAAGATTACGATAGTCTCCGCAACACAAAATTAGGGTGAAAACCGCGTAATGTGAACTAGGCTTCAGGCAACTAGACTTGCTTAACTTTCTTGAAGATGTTTCACCTCTCATACAAGAGGCTTCTTCAACTTACACCCATTCACACCCGGACCCGTCTAACCCTAACGACACACATGATGGCTGGGTGGACCAACGACTCATATGTGACCTCAACGACTCTGTAAGGTTTCACACCCACGCAGAGTTTAAAGCCTGCAAACTGCAGAGGCCTCTTGGATGAGAGGTGAAACGTCTTCAAGAATATATAGCATATAGCACTTAAGATCTGCCTTCAAAATATTAAGAATGACAAAACAATCTGTGGCCAGCTGATCAGAGCACCAATATCTGGGGGTGCTCTATATACAGTGGTGGAAAAAAGTTTTCGGACACCCCATGCATTTGTGAAATATTGCACTAAGAATCACTCTTAGGTCTTCAAGTGCAATTTCTTTTAGGACAGTCACAGCCAAAATACTAAATAAATCCTAAAAAAGCCATTAAAAACTTAAAATTTATTGGTTCCATAAAAATACATAAGAAATTTTGAGTATTGGGTCATTTTGGTACCAGTGATGAAGGTCGTTCTTTTTATTAAAAGACACAATTTTTGTTGCCAAGCTTCATGTCTACATAAAGCCAGCACATTTGAAAGTTCTTCAGACACAAAAATGGCTAAAACAAGGAACCTAACGCAGGAAACATGCCTGAAGATAAAGATTCTCAGCCAGGAAGGATACAGCTGCCGCCAGATAGCCAGGAAGTGCAGATGCAGTCCTTCAGCAGTTGGATACACTCTGCAGAAATACAGACGAACCAACAGCTTGGAAGACAAACCAAGATCTGGGCGTCCAAGGGTTTCTTCAGCAAGAAATGACCGCATCCTGATCCGCATGTGCAGGCAAAACCGCCGAATGACATCACAGGAGCTTCAGCAGCAGTGGTCAAACCAAACTGGTGTCCAGTGTTCCACCCGCACTGTACGTGGCCGACTTTTAGATCATGGCTTAAGGTCCTACAAGGCTATCAAGAAGCCCCTGATCAATGAGAGACAGAGGTTAGCCTGGCGTCGTTGGGCCCAGGCACACAAGAACTGGACAGCCAGGAATTGGAAGAAGATTTTGTGGTGAGATGAGTCCAGTTTCCAGCTTTATCTTCCTCCTACTAATGTGAGGGTATGCAGAAGGCCAGGCGAAGCATTATCTCCAGCATGTACAGTACCTACTGTCAAGCATGGTGGAGGCAGTATCATGGTTTGGGGATGCATGAGTGCTGCTGGTGTTGGTCATCTCACTGTCTGTGATGGCACATTGAACTCTACCAAGTATTGTACCATTCTCGAAACCCACATGCTCCCTTCTGCGCGTGCACTGTTCCATCGAGGTAAAAACTGGATGTTTCAACAAGATAATGCCCCTTGCCACACATCCAAGGCCAGTAGAACTTGGCTGCAGGAGCACAGTATCCAGGTCTTAGAGTGGCCAGCTCAATCCCCGAACATGAGCCCCATTGAAAATCTGTGGTGGATTATCAAAAGGTCTGTTTCAAAGCATAAACCAAAGAATTTAGAAGAATTAAAAGCAGTAATTCAAGAAGAATGGGACAAGATTACCCCTCAACAGTGTGAAAGGCTCGTGGGGAACATGCCAGCCAGGATTAGAGCTCTACTACGTGCCAGTGACAGGACTACTAAATATTAATTTGATGATGTGATGGTTTATTTATTTTTTGTTCAGTTTTGAACACATTCTCTGTTATTTGTTGACTTTGATACCGACAATGTTGAACTGACATATTGAAACTGTCAAGAATTTAGTTTTGTTAGTTTTTCTTGTAAACAATAAACAAAAAAATATAATTTGTATTTGTTTGTATCTGTCTAATGCAGCCACACCTTTTGAAACACAAAAAAGATTTTTCCACAAATATTTCATGATAATATTTGAGATTGTGTAAAATTTTAAGGGTGTCCGAAAACTTTTTTCCACCACTGTATAATCCTTGCTTGTTCCTGTCTCTAGCTGCTTCAAGTATAAATACTGTATGGTGGGATTTTATAACGGCGCTAGGGGGAAACACAGGCTGGCTATATCAAAACAACTCAGCCTCATCAGGCTAATTAACAGTCACAAGCTTGACACATTGTCATATGAGTCAAGTGAGGTTATCATAACGCTACTGAAAGGCGTGCCAGCAGACGCAAAATGACCTCATTTAAATCCCTTTGACCCCCTTTGAACTGTTGTAAAGCTTATTCATATACCTGATAAGGTCTTGTAGACATTAATGTGGTATATGGAATAAAGCAGAAAGAGAAACTATAAAAAGTAAAGCTCTGTACTGGTTTATATTCAGAGCAGCAGAGGAAGTAACACCTGATAGAAGTCGTTTTTGCAGAACAAGGATGTTCCAGTAGTCGGGAACTCTCACACACATGTGAACGCACAATACAAACTATGTATCTAACTGTTAAACTAAGCAACAAACTTGGGTGCCGTTTGAGTCAGACGTATCTGAGAAGACAGAGCTGTCATACCTGAGCGCAGCAGCGTGTCTTTGCATAGCGAGGCGTACTTGATCCGGACTCCCATCGACTCTGTGAGGCTCTCGTCAACCGGCAGCACCGTCTGCAGGACACACATGCTCTGGTGTTATACAGCGAGTCAACAACCACCTCCACCTCCACCTCCACCTGCCTGTCCACTCTCTGAGGCCAACACAACCTACACAACACTCCAACCACACTGACAGCTCCTACGCAAACCCAGTCCACTAAGATATGTCTTTTTACTGCCACTGTGTGACATGTTTATGATGACATCAAGCAGGTTAGGTATATTTCAGAGTTTATTTTAGCTGCTGCTACTGAAACGAGCCCACACCAACCAATTCCGAGCATGTAGGGAATCTGCCTCAAAACAGGAATTAAATTTAAAACCAAGTGCTCCCAGAGGACCGTGTCCCTCCCAGTGCCTCTTACCCGCCCGCTGATGCTGTCTGGCAAGCGGCCGACCGACATCCTCTGATCTGCTCTCTCCTCCATCTGCCACGCAGCGATGATGATGTTCCCCACCCGCTCGTTCTCTGCTGATCTGTACAGTGAAACGCAGTTTGGAGCAGTAACTAACAGTCCTTTTTCTATTATCCATTAATCTGCAAATTCAGTTTTTGATTCATTGTTTGGCCCAAAAATTCTTTCTGTTGTCCAACACTTGCCAGTTTAGTCCAAGAGATCTTGATGTGAAAACAACACAAATATTCACTGCAGTGCTTTTTCAAAGTGGTGCAACAGTTTCTAATGTAAAACAGGTTCTCGACAGAATTCTGTCAAGTGTCAGCAGCTGTTTGTGAGTGAAAGCAAACTTTTTGAGACACAGTTAAGTTTCACTTTCACTGCACCTGCTGTTGTGCTGCTCCATCTGTGCTCTGCACTCTGGGTGTGGGGCAATCAGTACCAAACGTTTAATGTATTCCAACAGCGCTCCTAATGAATGGTTCAGCTCAAAAAATCGAAAATCTAAAGGTGGCATCTAAAGATAATTAATTTAGAATGATATAAAGCAAAAAAAGTAGCAACACCTTACATTTAAGTAGCTGGAAGTAGCTAGTGTTTGACAGTTTTGCTTAAAGGGAAATTTCGGTTTATTTCAACCTGTCTCCTATCTTCCTAAATTTGTTTCAAGTGACTATTGACATAAAAATAATAGTTAGCATGTTAGCCGTTAGCCTAGATACAGCCGGGGCGCATAGTAGCGTCAGACCTGATAAAACTTAAGTGAACGGGCAACCTTCAAGTGCAAAGTTAGTCCACTAAACAAGCTTTTTTCCACAAAAGACCGCCTCATATCGTTAGGATAAATGTCAGAGAACATATAGAAAATGACATGTAAACATGTTGTCTTACCTTACCGGTGTGGAGAACATATAGAAAAATATATAGCTCTGCTTTCCAAAGCGCGGCCGAAATATCGCGAGAACAAGCAGCGATCTCATACCGTGCCTGAAATCTGGCGAGAACAAGCAGCAACAGCTGGAAGGCAGAACCAGACAGTAGCCTGAAAAGTTCATTCATTTATTTTATGAAAGATTTATAGAATAATGGCTGACTTTTTGCCAGACTTGGACTTTGTGGAGGAGGAATTTGATTTTGCAGAGTTTGATGGCCGCCCTTATTTATTTGAGCCAGAATACACTGACGAAGAGCTTCGTGAAATTGAAGAACGGATGAGGAGAGAGAGAGAGAGAGGCGCAACAGGTAGAGGACAAGAGAGGAGGAATGGCTGCTGCAAGGCTGCGTAGCTCTGGAGATTGGTGGTGTACCTGTGAATGCTGTGCCCCAGTGCCCACAGAAGAGGAATGCCTCTGTTGCAAGGAATGCGACCGGTTGCAGCCTTATTTTCAAGGTCTGGATGTGACCGAGGACGAGACACCTCCACCTGGAGTAGTATCCAGCCTGGCTTTATCTAGAGCTCGCCAGATATATTTCTGCTTTTGGAAAGCAGAGCTAAATGGTTAACAAAGATGGCAGCACACCGGTAAGGTAAGACAACACGTTTACATGTTGTTTTCTATATGTTCTCTGACATTTATCCTAACGATATGAGGCGGTCTTTGTGGGAAAAAAGCTTGTTTAGTGGACTAACTTTGCACTTGAAGGTTGCCCGTTCACTTATGTTTTAACAGGTCTGACGCTACTATGCGCCCCGGCTGTATCTAGGCTAACGGCTAACATGCTAGCTATTATTTTTATGTCACTAGTCACTTGAAACAAATTTAGGACGATAGGAGACAGGTTGAAATAAACTGAAATTTCCCTTTAACAAATGACTGACTGATTAATCAACTCATTGTTTCAGCACTAGTACGCATCATATTGGTGTCCCTCAGGGCTGTGTCCTGAGTCCAGTCTTGTTCACGCTGTACACCCACGACTGCGTCGGCAATCCATGGCTCCAACACCCTCATCAAATTTGCGGATGATACAACCATTGTGGGACTGATCAGCAACGGCCTGGTGCAGTGACAACCACCTCAACCTCAACACCAGGAAGACAAAAGAAATCATCATTGATTTCCGCAAGACAAGGACCACACTGCGCCAAGGGAGCGATCACACCGAGATGGAACGCTAGAAACGCGACGCCAGTAAAACCATTGTTTTCCTATGATAAGGCCCAGCAGCGTCTCTTTTTTCTTAGAACGCTGAGGAGGAACAAGCTCCCTCCACCTCTGCTGAGCAGCTTCTATCACTGCACAATGGAGAATGTCTTGACCTATGGATGTACGGTGTGGTATGCCAGCTGCACCGAGTCATAAGAGCCTGCACCAACAGATTAAAACACAGCTTCTTCCCTATGGCTGTGAAGAGACTGCTGCAGGAACCATGAACAAATGTAAACCACCTTTTCTTATCGACCTCTAGACCTGTTATTAAAACTGGCACGTGAACAGAAAGAACATTACCGCCATTTCTTGGAGCTGAAAAATGAGTTACATCTCAGAATAATAATAAGAAGTTAGGTGTGTGTGTTACCTCAGTTCGAGCTGTAATCTGTGGCTCCTCTCTTGCAACAACTCCTTAACAGGAAAAAGTGCTGAGCCCAACATGTACATCTAAAAGAGACAGATAGACAATATTACTGATGAGCTCATATCTCCTCTTAACTAGTGCCAACTACACAGAACAGACAAGTCAGTGTTTGTCTTTGTCCACTTTGGCTCAGAATGAAAAAGAATCTTGACGAATAACATCCTTTCTATTTTAAACCATTAAACTAAATCATACCGTGCCCTGCGAGCGATCCTTGACGTCATAGACAGCCAGCTTCACCTGCGTCTGCTGGTTGATGTTGGACTCCTGGAAGAAGGCAATGCTGCTGAGGAAGATGGGGTTACTGGTGCCCTGTGGAGGAAGGCAGTGACAGTGACATCAGCATTACCTCAAGAACATTGCATTAATATCCACTGCCCCTGTGTGTTCTATTTGCTCTGTCTAAAATGTTTTCTGTCATGTTTTCCTGTAATGTCATTAACTTCTGATGACTCATTTGGCGCTAGCGAATAAAAATTGCTTCCCTTTAATGTGATTTGAAGCAACCAGCTGACCCCAAACTGCACTTGACCTTGTTTATGGTTACAGATCGCTGAAGCTAGCAGAGGGAAATCAGGTGGTGGGAGGTGTGTTTGGACATGAAAATCCTTTCCACAAGTGTGTGGCTGCAGCTCAATTTATTCATCTCTCTCGTCCTCCGCCTCCTGATTGCAGCGGAGGTGAAGATAAACAGTCCGCCACATCCACTTTCCAACTATCGAATCAAATCCCTCTCAAATTACACAAAGTTCACCTGTAAGTGTGACATTTTGGGTCTCATTTCACTGCAACTTTGAAGGTCAGAGAGTCTTTAAAGAGTCTGACCTCTATGACTTCCGTCTGGGCGTGTTTGGTCCAGAAGGCCTGCGGTGGTGTCGTGCAGCTCACTGCTACAAAGCTGTTGGGTTTTCGGTCCAAAGCAGGAGTCAGCAGGTCTGTGCAGGCTGGAGGAGGAACACTGAATGAGCTGAGAGGCGTAAAAACAACCCATCTAATAGTCAGCTTAAAAGCCTGGATTGTTTTGGATGCAAGTGTTACTTACAGACGCTGAACTCAAGCACAGGCTCATCTGGGTCCTGACTGTTTCCTGGAAACAAACCAACAAGTCACAGAAACATCAGACATCAATGATTGCAGCACAATGAGCCTTGGACAACAGTCACAACAGGAACACAATTAGGTAAAACATAAAATCCAAAATGTGGCCTCTAAATGGTATTTTGATTGCAATTTGAAAAATCTGATCGTATGCATTCGATCATAGTTCAGATTCTGCTTGGACAGAAATGTCACGGCAGGTTTGTTCAGGCTAGACTCATGAGGTAAAACCCTTAAAGGGAAATTTCGGTTTATTTCAACCTGTCTCCTATCGTCCTAAATTTGTTTCAAGTGACTAGTGACATAAAAATAATAGTTAGCATGTTAGCCATTAGCCTAGATACAGCCGGGGCGCATAGTAGCGTCAGACCTGTTAAAACGTAAGTGAACGGGCAACCTTCAAGTGCAAAGTTAGTCCACTAAACAAGCTTTTTTTCCACAAAGACCGCCTCATATCGTTAGGATAAATGTCAGAGAACATATAGAAAATGACATGTAAACATGTTGTCTTACCTTACCGGTGTGCTGCCATCTTTGTTTACCATTTAGCTCTGCTTTCCAAAGCGCGGCCGAAATATCGCGAGAACAAGCAGCGATCTCATAGCATGCGTGAAATCTCGCGAGCTCTAGATAAAGCCCAGCTGGATACTACTCCAGGTGGAGGTGTCTCGTCCTCGGTCACATCCAGACCTTGAAAATAAGGCTGCAACCGGTCCCATTCCTTGCAACAGAGGCATTCCTCTTCTGTGGGCACTGGGGCACAGCATTCACAGGTACACCACCAATCTCCAGAGCTACGCAGCCTTGCAGCAGCCATTCCTCCTCTCTTGTCCTCTACCTGTTGCGCCTCTCTCTCTCTCCTCCTCCGTTCTTCAATTTCACGAAGCTCTTCGTCAGTGTATTCTGGCTCAAATAAATAAGGGCGGCCATCAAACTCTGCAAAATCAAATTCCTCCTCCACAAAGTCGAAGTCTGGCAAAAAGTCAGCCATTATTCTATAAATCTTTCATAAAATAAATGAATGAACTTTTCAGGCTACTGTCCGGTTCTGCCTTACAGCCGTTGCTGCTTGTTCTTGCCAGATTTCGGCTGCGCTTTGGAAAGCAGAGCTAGATGGTAAACAAACATGGCAGCACACCGGTCAGGTAAGACAACTAACTTTGCACTTGAAGGTTGTCCGTTCACTTATGTTTTAACAGGTCTGACGCTACTATGCACCCCGGCTGTATCTAGGCTAACGGCTAACATGCTAACTATTATTTTTATGTCATTAGTCACTTGAAACAAATTTAGGACGATAGGAGACAGGTTGAAATAAACCGAAATTTCCCTTTAAGACAGCCCAGAGAGTAGTACATTCTTCAAGTGTTTCTGTAGGGTGTGTTAAGTTAAATTTAAGACTTTTTAAGACCATTTTAATACCACAGAATGCAATTTAATACCTGCTTCATTATCACACCAGCCAAAGGATGAAATTATGATGAAATAAGCAGGATCAATATGACTTACATCATTATGTACTTCCAACCAGAGTTGTTGATTCATGGCTTTTTGTTGGCTTTAAATGAAATGTGGTTTGCTGTATGCTTAAATGGAGTCTGGTGGGTTTTGCGATGGCAATTTCAGGGCTGTTTCTGGTCAAATAAAAAGGATCTTACTCTTTAATAAAAGGTCTATCTCGTAAAATAACAATCCGAACCTGTCAGTGGCAAAAACAGGCACTTTTAGTCAGTGGCGTAAGGTAGTTACAGGCCCAAGTATACGCTTTTATGAGGGACCCTGAGGCTGGGAGGTTACTTGTCATGCACCGAAACTAGCTACCATATAATCTTATCATCACATGATCAAATAGAAACTTGACACTGGACAAAAAAAAACATACATATCACCCAAAACTCATCATGGTATATATGTACGGGACAAAAATATCAAAGAAAATAAGGAATTATTCATTTAATTGAATAGTTTTTGTACCTTATTTAGAGTTTATGTAGAGTATCTCTCTCTATGGGCCCCCTAACCCCATGGGCACCAGTGCAACTGCCCTGCCTGCACTGTCTATATTTACGCCCCTGCTTTTAGCAAGGATTCATATTGACGATAAAGACCAGACCACCACGACTGAACCGAGTTCTCCTCTGAGGTATAAGTCCTACAGACGCTCCAACCAACTGCAACCTCAACTGCGATGTGTTAACAGATGATGAGCAGCCCTCAGGTCTCATTATGATCTGCTTCAGGGCAACTGTGGTTGAAGAGGCCGCTGGCGCCCACACAAGTTTAACACTGTGCCAGCAGAGTGTGTGTCAGTGTGGTATTTTGGTTTTAGTGGTGTTGCAAGTGGCTGACATTAATGGCAGGCTGTGTTTATACTCGGCAGCTATTGCATTAAATTAGGTTTTTATTTTAGTGTTACAAACTGGAGCTCTTTGGGTTTTGGACATCTAAAGATCATCTCACTTTCACGATCAAATTTCTGCCTTGATTAAGTTGTCGATGATGAAGGCACTAGATCAGTAAATGTTTTTGTCAGACTCTGTTTCTCTCTTCAGTAGGAACCAACCGTCCCTCACCTGCGAGAGCCAAGCCGATCATCTCGCTGGACAACTCGAACGTGCTGGCCCGGTACACAGACCACGGCCTCTGTATCCGGGAGCCGCGCTCTCGGACCCCCGCCATGCCTGTCCGGGAAGAGCGGGCGACGGCAGGAGGCCTGAACACACACCCTCACACACACGGTCACGCACTCCCATGTGAGGTGCCCCTCTTTCTGCGTTGATCCACGGCTGCTCCAGAAAGCAGTTCGTCCTCTCTGAATGGAAACAGACAAGAGAAAGAGAGAAGAAGGGAGGTTAGATTAGTATTATCATATGAAATAAAACTTTCATTATCTGAGCTTGAAAATTATGCTTTTTTAATTAGTCAAGATGGTTTTCAGATGGTTTCTTTTAGAGTAACATATGCTTAGCCCCTCTGTATTTTAAATTTATAAAGTGAAATTGAACATAAAACAGACAGAGATACAGGGGTTCCTCTTCTGTGCTCACACAGAAGCCTCATCAGTACAGCAGAGTTTTTTGCAGGTCCATGAATGCAGCATAAAAGGAACTCTCGATGAGTTTTCTTTTTCCAACAGCAGCAGTTTGTTGATTTTGGGTCCTGGGGTTGAGAAATGAACAGTTGATCAGTTTGTGGTTGAAACGATCAGAGCCCTAATTCACATGCTCGAGCACTCAAATAAGTGAAAGGCCTCGTTCATGGGCATTTGTGACACAAAATGGACAATTTAAAAAAGAGAAGAGAAAGAGTGCCTTGATTTAAAACAATAGCACAAAAACCAAGCTTTGACCACATGTATGAATTCCAGTGAATTCATGTAGTGGTTGATGCTAATGTGCCATATGTACATGCGAGAGAGGAAAGCATGAGAACAGAAATCAGGAACAAAGTACAGAAAGTGAGACCTTATACAAACCTGGCAAGAGCGAAAAACAACCCAAGTATCTCTCTAAGTACCAACTGCAGCTCACAAGGTCAAGTCGCCCCATCTTTACTCACATTTGCCACCTACGCAGTCTGCAGCATATGTTCACACTGTGAGACCCCCTCCAACTACTTTCACTGATTTTATATCTTATTCCATATTCAGACCTCTGTTTGACCTTATTGCTTCTGCTGCTACACCAATCTGATTTCACCAACAAGAATCAATAAAGCTCCAGTTTTAAGCTGTGCTCTTTTAAGTTCAGCTGCCTACACTGCAAAGCAACCCATAGAAGATGGACTTATCAAACAGAGTCTAAAAGAGAGTCTGACAATAGCAAGTACACATGTCTATGCATTGATCCCATACCATGTAATTTATCAGTAAACCTCAAAGTAGTTTAACACCTGAATAAAACAGCAGTTTTTCAGGAATGCTGTTCTTCGTTGCCGCTCTAATACACAATAAGTTGCAACGTGCAGCCAGTGGCAACTACTGTTTTTGGCCAATAAGAATTACTTTACAGTAAAATAGTGTATTATTAGCTATAGAAAATGTCAACAATTTGGCTATATTTTTGTGACTGCAAAGTCCTGTAAGTAAAAAAGCAATAGGTACAGTTTGCAAGGCTTCAGTTTTGAGGGGGGCAAAAGCATTGACAATTTTAATACTAGAAACATCAAAAAAACAAAAACAAAAAACAAAAACAACAGCTGTTAATGTTTTTTTTTCCTCTTTTAAATGATATCGGATTGGTACTTATTATCGGTTGATATGCAAAGTCCGGTATTGGAATCAGTATCTGAAAGGAAAACATGGTATCTCTAAATAAAACACATCAATATCGGCGAAGTGTTTCAGAGATGGCAAGGAAATGTTGCTAATAGTTTAGCCTTCGGCTAACTGCAGCCAAGAGCTCACAGCTGCAGCTTCATGTCCACGTTTAGGCTTCATTTACACTGCAAGCGATGCGTTCGCATAGAGGTCGCAAAGCATAGCGGCAGCACACGTGTATTCACACCAAAACTGAACAGACTCGACACGCAGCGGCCGCTGCTGTCCCGTCAAAATACAAACCACATCTGAAGAGTTAGTGGCGGTAGTGCACCGTGTTTGCAAATCTCCAATAAACCCCAAAGATGAAGAAGTGAGTTTGGACCCAAAGCCCAGGTTGGACAGGTTTGCACGCCAGTGATTATTCCAACGCTTGGAGAATTAATATTTAGCACTACAAATGGGTAAGTAGTCTTTGTCTGCTTTGTATTACTAGCCTTAGCACAAAAAGCGCATTCGTCTCGGTGTTAGTGTCACTACAACGACCATTCGCTCGAGACTCGCACAGAAAATCGGCGTCTCTTCTACTTTCGAGCTTGCTCGCGAAAGCAACATGACTCAAGCACCGCGTAGAACGGATGCAGTGTGAACGCTCTTATCTGTTAACATGCTCGACAAAATGGAAATGCGAGTAAGCAGTGACCTTTCGCAAGCACTACGCAAATGCATCGCTTAGGGTGTAAATGAGGCCTTATGCAGCTAACGTTTCACAGTGTGTCCTCCATTTCACTCCCTGCCGTTACAGACTACCTCGCTGGGAGGAGAGCGTGCAGCAGCTCCAGAGTTTGTTCCCTAGTCAGTGGTTGCAGCAACCTAAATACAGCCAGCACAAATCCCAGCGCAGCAAACTTTCTGTTGCTGCTGTGACATCCGGCACTACAAGGGGTTTGTGCTGGCCAAATCTGGGCCGCGACTGAAATATCAGAATCTCATTGTATCACTAAATATTTGTGCACTGTCGGACACAATTAAACAGGCAGCAGAATTCTCAGCGTGGTGGTGCAGTGGTAGCATATTCGACTACCAACCTACACCAGCTTCCTCCTACAGTCCAAAGACATGCAGGTTCATTGGTGACTCTACATTGCACAAAAAGGAAGATGTGAAATCTATTAGTCTCACAGCCTGAAAGAGAGTCTTCTTCCACGTTACAATAGAGAGCAGAAGGGCATGTATGGCTATACATATATTTATAGACTGTTAAGAGATACACGTGTGTGTCATCATGCGACTGAGCATCATCTGTCAGCCCCCTTCATCCCTGAGTGCTCCCAACGCCAGCACGTGTTTTGGTTAATATTTGCACATAGATACATGTACAGTATGTGTCTGTGAATACATGACAAAACAACAACAGTTTCTTCCTTCAGCAGTATGTTGATTTGCATCTGTGTGTGTCAGCCCACTTAAAAACTCTAAAATTTGCATTTTATGTGCCTATTTATGCTCACCATATGATGATGTTGCTAAGAAACTGTAGGTTTCTCCTTAGGTGCTCCAAATTTTTTGTATTTCTTCTTCACTTCCTCCTCACTCCCTTTGCCCTTCTCTCTCTTTATATCCATCTGTCTCCTCTGCATCCTCTTCCCTGTCTAGTTTTGGGAGTTCTATCATATTGTGCTCCCCAAATCTAATGCTCTATTTCCTCCTGATTTTCTCTCACCTCCAGCCGAATCTTTTGGGATTCTTCCCCCTGAAGGCTTTAGCCTGTGGATGAGCAACCGTCCCACTCTCTCTGCTTTTGTTCCCGCTGTCCCATTTTGTTAAAGAGCAATTAGCCTATTTGCAGCAACGCAGCGAGCGCAGGGGAGAGTAGCTGGCTGTGGTCTAGTTGGACGATCTCTGTAGGCTATTTTGGTAGATTTGTGCTCTATTTATTGTTGAAAAATGTGTGTCAGTGATTCAGGTGCAGGTCAAAGTTGTATACACCTCATGTCAGAGCTGTTGTGCAAGAACGTAGCACAGATTAAGTGTTTTTCTTTTGTATTAAACAGCAGCATACCTTCAGGTTCCTGTAAACGTGGCCACTGAAATCGGTTTTCCTGAGATTGAACTGTTAGACACTGGACTCCTATATCAGCCGATAGAGTGATCTCATTTTAATTGTGGTTCTGGGTTACTAGTTGGTGGCCTACTTCCTGATATGTGCTGCTTGATATGCCCCACTTCGGTCAGCTCAGATACATGTGCCCTACATGTGTCGCTGCAAACATCTGGAGTACGACCTACAGTCCTCTCTGGATGGAGAAGACTCTGCTTGATTTATGTGCTTGTTCCTGCAGGTTTACATTTGTCTTTATGTCCAATCCATGACATTTAAAATGGCAAACTCCTTCCACAAGAGGTCTATTTCTATTTCAAGTATTTTGGGGGCTTTTCACGCCTTTGAAAAGTGGATAGCGCAAAATAGAGAGCTGACGGGAAACTGGGGCAAAGTGAGGAGATCCCACAACGTTCCCAGCTGGATTTGAAGTTGTGATTTCATGGTCAGCATCTTCAAGGGACTCAACATGGATGTGGTCAGGGACTGGGTTCTTCTCTTGTGCCTTTCCTGTGCCTGCTTTCAAGAGTGCGGCGGCAGGTTGCTTGGGATTTCGGGTAAGTAGGCTATGATACGGCACTGGTTACAGTCACTTCCCAACATCAGGCGCAACCTGCCTCCACATCGTTGAAAGTTGGCACAGAGTAACACCCAGCGCAGGTAAAAGACGCGGCTTAATCTGCTCCTTTAACTGGACTTCCTAGATCATATTTATTCGTCTCACACACACTCAACACAGGGCTTAAACTCAAGCTCAAACACTCACAACACAACTCTGTTACACCCAAAGATCTCCTTCCTATCACAGACTTCGCCTTGGGTCTCTTTCTCTGCAAAGTGCTGGAGTCGCATCAAAAGACACACCAACAGTCGAGGTTTGGAAAAGACTGACATGTAAATACACAGGGGAAAGAAGAGATAAAAAAAAATGCAAGGCAAGACGCAATACAGCTTCTCGAGCAGGCGACATATCTGCCACATCTCTGGAGGGAGTTGTTGCTTGTGCACTTATTCAATATTCATGTAACAACATGAGCTTTGACAGCGGGGTTGGAGGCACCACAGACGCTCCACAAACACTCAGTCATCAGCCTGTAGGGCCTTTTAGCGGAGCTGCCTGAGTGTTGTGCTGATGAGCCAAGACACTCGTGAGTAAATAGAAAGGAGGAAGAAGGTATGACATTTCAAGGGTTTAGAGTTTAAGATTCAAATAAGGAAAAGGAATAGGTAAGAGGAGACGCTGAAGTTAAAGGGATGAAAAGGAAGTCTTCAGTGTGACCGTTCCTTGAACCTGCCGGTGTGACTCTGATCTCTCTTGGTAAAAAAAATCCCCAGATATGTTGCACTGAAGAGACGAATATCAAGAATGTTTGAGTGTTTGTGAGTGTGTGTGAGTGTGTGTCCTCCAGCTCTGTCTAATCGGTTAAAAGGCTGTAAGACAGCTGATTTGCGA